GATATTACGTGTTCCGGTAGAGAATTCCAGTAATTCACCACCTAATGCGAGAAGCGAAACTCCAGACGTAAACGATTTGATCTCGGTTTTTGAACATCGAATGTCCTCTCAAATGATCGGTCCTAGACGGAAGCAAGAGATAAGACATGTTAATGCCATGGTCATCGTTCAGTATACGATAAGCCAATATTGATCACCCCGTACTCTACTGTAAGATAACGGAACTAAGTTGAGGTGTCTCAGTTTGTCTTCATATAATAGGTCAGATAGACCTTGTATCACCTTAGTACCTCGTCGTTGGACTCTTTCCAGCATCTCCGCTTCATACTTGAAACAAGGGCTCGCTGCCTGAATCCCATATTCTAAATATGATCGCACATAAATCGGGTATAATAGTCTAAACATTTCATCATATAAATACTAGAAAGACCTATGAATAGACTATAATACCCTATAGCCTTTCGCAGCAGCAACCTTACAGTGACTAGTGGTCTTGAGATCACTGCTTAATATGACTCCTAAATCTTTATAGTTTCTTACTTTGGGTAACAATAATCCACCTATTGTGTAGTGATACGATTCATCATAGTTATTTATTTTCATCACTACACTCTTATTAGGATTTTCTTCTGATGACCATCTGTCCAACCATACCAGCAATGAGCTAAGAACATTCTGTAATACTATCCTATCCAACATATTATGTATGGGTCTCCAAATCTTTATGTCATCAGCGAAGAGTAGGACGGATGATTTCGCTATAAATTGTAATTCATTTACATAATGTAAAAAGAGAAGAGGGCCGAGGATTGTACCTTGGGGAACTCCACTTTCTACAGGTACCCACGAGGAGAGAGCCCCATTTACCCTCACCCTTTGTCTCTTCTCATGCATAAAGTTACTTATCCAATCTACTGCTGTATAATGGATTCCAAAACGTTCCAGTTTGAATCTAAGACCAGAGCGGGAGACTTTATCGAAGGCCTTACTTAGATCTATGTAGATCACATCCAGAGTAATATTCTGATCTTTTGCAGCAGCCCAATCTTCTCTTGCAATGAGAAGATTTCCCAAGCATGATAGGCCTCTCCGAAAACCATGTTGTTCCCTGGAGAAAAGATTATGACCTTCAACATGGTTCATAAAAGATATTCGAGTGATTTTTTCCATCAGTTTAACAACTGCACTAGTTAAGCTAACGGGCCTATAGTTACTAACTAAACCCCTACTCCCAGCCTTATACATGGGACTTATTATAGCGTTTTTCCAGTCTCTGGGGAGTCTGGACTGCCTTAGAGACATGTCAAACAGTATCCCTAATGGTTCAGCAATTACATCTGATAGAGCTTTCATAATCCTAGGATGAATATCATCAGGACCACTGGACTTATCAGGTTTGAGATGCTGAAGTAGCCTTAAAACATTACTTTTGTCTATGACCACAAGGTCCATCAGTGAGCCACCGCGATCACAGTGAATCGTTGGTCGTTCCTCATTACCGATAGAAAACACTTTACTGAAATACTCCAATAAAGCTTCAGCTTTTTCGGTATCATTCTCTGCCAAGATTAACGGATTTTCTTGTATCAGAAGTGATGAAATTCCATCACTACACACCCTTTTAAATACGAGAATAACCGTTTCGGACTATATCCAGAATCCCTAACCAATTATTTTTCATATGATCGTCTAGTTTTACTTATTAACGCTTTGCAGGCATTCCTAATCTTACAATAACTAGATCTGTATTGTTCTAAGCCAGTAGAAATGAACATATTCCAGTGCTTCCTCCTTTTTCTAAGTTTTCTGACTGTTTTAGTGATCCGTGGTGGACTGTTATTCGGTCTTCGCGGTACCAGGTGTGGTATGAACGGGGACGTAACTAGACTTAACCTACCTTTAAATTCAGACCATGCTTCTTCAACTGATAAACTAGTATCGACAAACCAATCTGTCTTAGCAACGCATTCCTGAATGGTTGATATGTCAGCTTTCCATACATTTAGACGAGGTGCAACCTGATCGTATAACATGTCGCTAGTTCTAAACATGAGTGACAAAACAGCGTGATCGCTGTTCACTAATGGCAGGAGAATATTTAGATCGACAATATCCTCAGTATCATGAGTGATTACCAATTCCAACAGAGTAGAACCTTGGTTAGCACCAAAAAGTGTGGGTTGGGATACATGCTGCACTAGTGCATGCTCCATTATTGTTACCAGGAACCTACTATCAAAGGATTTTATAGATCTCTCCGTAGTCATCTCAATCCAACTAATATCAGGTGCATTAAGGTCTCCTATTATCAAGCATCTGGTATTTGCACTCCAAAGATGAATGTGCTCTAAAATAAAGTCATCAGCTACGCTAATTGGGCTGCGATAGATGACACCGAGCATAAATGTACTACATCCGATAGCCAATTTACAGCTAATGATTTCACACATACAGCTATCATGGGATTCGCTAGCAGAGGAGCGGATATTTATATTCGCTGAAAAATTCCCATTATATTAAAACACAATTGTATGAACGAAGAATGTTCTTTTCAATAATTTCTCATCAGGTTCTACAATTATAAATCCAGATTAATAATCCATAAAATTGGCCAGATTTAAGACAAAATACATCATTTGGAAATTGTAATATGTGAATCAGGAATTGTTTGTTATATAAATAAAATCGTTAGTGTTGGGACGACTAATATGAAGTGTTAACTTGAATCAGTTTATAAGCGAAATAAAATTGTGAGATAAATTATCAGAATAAATACGGTCAACATGGGGTGAGAGAGAGAATATTGTGATTACAAATCGGAAATTACGTAATATGTAAAATAATTAGGTCAACTATAGTAGATTTAGGGGTGGATATTGAATAAATTCCTCAAAAAGGGGTTATCAAGTGTAAAGACAATAATAATAATAATAACAATAATAATAATAAGTTTGGGACATAAAATGAACATTAACCAGACTACGTCACCACATTATAAGATTGATTATTAGCTAGTTGGCCCCAGAGTTGGCCAGGGTAAAAGGAGTGGCTGAACATACTTCTTTTGTATACAAAGCTCTGGCTTTTTGATCCGTATAGCAATTGCTTCAGCCGTCTGTAGGATTCGCAGTCTGACGGAATTAGGTAGACTGCTGTTGACACGATAGATTATTGCAAAAGATTGCTCCATGTTTGCTGTATGTCCTGTTTGGACTAAATGGTCTAAGATGGAGCTGTTAACAGTTTTGACAACACCTTTGCTTAACCACACGGGTAGGTGCTCACGATCCCAAATGTACAAATTCCTAGAACATCTGCCAATATAACTTGCTCCACAGGAGCAGTTGAATTGATTGATACAGAAGGAGGTGGCTAGTCTAGGTAATTTATTTTTCAACCTCGGAGTGATTATTGGTCGTGTGGAGAATACTAGTTGTAGTTTAGCTGCATCAATTCAAAGGACTCCTTTAGAGTCATCTGGTAAGATACTACGAATATATTCTCCCAGCGTCTCTAAATCATGCGCGTATCTAATTTTTGGATCAGGGTCGTTTGACTCGAGCAATTTGCTTACAATAATATTCGATGAGATTAGATTATTCTTCTCGCTCACGCCAGGGTGGGTTTCTCTCTTACTATCAGATTTTGGTAGCTCATCAGGTTTTGGTAGTGCAGTTAGTGACTCAAAGTGGGAGTTCACCAGTGACTTGCTAACCATCTGCGCACTTCATACAGCCTTTTTCTTTTCGTTTCGTTTTCTCCGTGCTGTAGTCCATTTTTCATCCCTCAGGACACTGTGACTATTTGGAGCAGTGACTGTTTTATCCAGATCTTCAGTTTACACTGGGGGGCATGGTTACCGGTATCAGTATCAGGTGGTACTACACCCGTCGTTAATGTTAACGGAGATTTTACTTTGCCGTCAGTCAAAGTCGGTTGTTTAAAACGTCTCGTAACAGCACGTACTACACTGACACATTCGTCACTGTCAGTGCTCGTGTTATCAGCGCATGCGGAATCGTTCTTCTTACAGACCAGAGCCGATAGGCTCATAGCCTCCTGTATTGGTAATGACTTATTTGCACAGCAAAACATGCAGAGCCAATGTGAGTTAAGATTCGAACATCTTTTGTATGCAGTGGGACTTAAACGGGCGCACATCTTATGGAATCACTTTTTGCATTCATCACACTGCATTCCTTCCTCCACAGGGAACAAACAGTTTGGTTGTCCACATTTGTGACTACTATCAACCCTTCTAGTCAGATTAAGGTGTAAAACACAATATGATCGATGTATGAACACAGTGTCACTCAACGAGCAAAAGGGTATTACAAGACAAGCCTTAGCAATATTTCAAACTTCAAATAATTTACTTTGATTCAGACCAAGGATGCTTTTGATGCAACAATTACACAAAAGCAAGGATAATCACAAAAAGTACAAAATCACTGCCCTTTTTGAAACACCGAAGATAAACTAGCATGCAAGCAGAAACGATGCTGTAGTCGAATATTTTAACTGAAATTAATTCAATTAAAGTGAAAACAGTAGTTCTGATACATAATAACGATCAAAACAATAGAATTTACTCAACGAGGAAAAATACCACTGTTCTTTTGATTAGCGCGCGCGATGGATCAGCTGAGATACCACCATTGCCAGGACTAACACAGGCCATCAAGCTCCCTGTCCTTCCCAAACTGAAACTGAAACTGAAGTCAGTCAGCCTGCTGTTCTTATTCATGAACGATAAAGATATCGAATTCCAAGGTCGCTGTTTAACCGTGGACGTAACAAGTAAGTATCCTTTGAATTTGTATTGTTAATGTCAAGGTCCTGGTACAGACTTGCCATAGTTTAACACCGTCATTTACTAGTGTTCACCGGTTTTGTGTTTCACTACATACCATTGTCTCTGTTCACTAATTGTGAACTGACGATACGTACATACATACGCGCGTCATCCTATCTCATAATTGCAGGTCAAGTACCAGAAAATGAGTTACAACTACATAGTTTCTTGGTTGCTTATAACATTCACTGCTGCCGTATCATGTGTCCTAACTTATGTATTCTCTAGATACCAACACGATCCTTACATGGATGAAGTTTTTCATGTGCGCCAAACATTAAAATATATTCAAGGAAACTGGAAGTTCTGGGATAGCAAGATCACCACACCTCCCGGTCTTTATGTGGCTTATGTGTCCGCTCACAAAGTTCTGAGTTTATTAGGTGTACTTCCACCTGAACCTACTGCAATGCATTTTAGGTTTTCGAGTGTCCTGTTCAGTATAATTAATCATGTGATTATACTTAGGATTGTTAAAATCATGAAATGCAACTCTCCTAATATTCTAGCCATCACTATCGCATCAGAACCATTATTCCTCTTTTTCTCTGCCTTCTACTACACTGATCATTGCTCGATATTATTCGTCATGGCGTCTTTTTACTTTATTTTATTACATCGCGACTGGTTAAGTGCTCTGTTCGTCTCCTATGCTGTCTTCACACGCCAATCTAATATTATATGGGTTCCTCTGCTTATGTGCATCCACACTTCCGGGAGCCTATCACAAAATATGTTCGGACATGACCGATGTTCCTCAACCATGTGGATCAAAAGATTACTGTACATGTTCATCACACATCCACTTTCTGTCACACTTGTTATGCTGAAAAGTGTCTTCCGACCGTGTTTACCTTTTGTCTTAGTTTTACTTTCGTTTATATCTTTTGTTATTATTAATAAAGGTATTGTTTTGGGTGATAGAGAAGCACATACTGCAGTTTTGAACATCCCTCAATTTTTCTACTTTGCTACTTTTTGTGCACTTTCCACTCCTATTCAGTTTGTGGGTTACATAGTAAATAGCATAAAATCATTTAGAAACTTGCTTGTTAATCGAAGTTGGAGGGTGTTGACTATATTTCTTCTGCTCACGCCAACTTTTGTCCTAATTATATTAATATCTTTGAAGTATTGTCTTTTTATTCATCCCTATTTGATTTCTGACAATAGGCATTATACCTTTTATATCTGGCGAAAAATAATATATAGAAATGTTTCCACGTACTACGGTCTGTCTGTTGTTTATCTAGTAGCTACAGCGTACTTTGTGAACACCTTGTTCTTTTCTTATCGAAACATACCATTCGGTCCTTTTATAGAACGCTTAGTTTTCTTAGTGTGCACTTTCATTGTTGTAACTGCTTCTGGTTTACTCGAATTGCGATATTTCTTGATCCCATTTGTGTTATGGCGCGTCTTCTCTTTTTCACATACTCATTATAAGTATTTGCTCTGTGAAGTTTTATGGAATTTATTGATTGTGTTTATTACAGCATATCTCTTTATCTTTAAGCCGTTTGAATGGCCAAGTGAACCTGGTGTGTATCAAAGGTTTATGTGGTAGCTTTTTTTTAATGCCTTTTAAATAACATTTTATTCATGTCTAAACGCGCATTAATGTGACTGAGATTTATTGAAAATATCGAATGACTGTAATGCGAGCTGTTAAAATCGTAACTAATTTATGTGCAACACATTTGTTCATGAAATGTATTTTTAAACTTGCAACTTGTTCTTCAAAATACCGTGACAGTTGTTACTAGTCAGCCGAGTTACTTCAAATGCCTTCGGTTGATGATTATACTTTTTTTCTATGTAACAAAATACAATCATCTACTGTGTTTTAGTATTCTGGACGACACTTAAAATAACTTACTGGATATAATTCAAGCATTGGTTATTCTGTTTTTTTTTCAAATGGAGAAATAAGAAATTTTTTATGTGAGTAGGGATTAAGATATTTAAACATATCTCGAAGACATTACTTTTATGAAATACGTATAAGTTCATATGGTCTTTAGAAGTTATTACGACGGAAAGAGTTACGAGGCTGCCGTTAGAATGTATTCTGATGGAGCATCGATTCGTGTAGTTCTCAGCAAACTGTCAAGATACTTATTGATATCTCACTAATATGTTTAACTAGAAATAAATTCAGATGATTTATAAATCTGTAGTTTCAAAATTTAATTTAGGATTTATTTTTATTTTTGAAACTTACTGTTATATGACCTTTTAATTAAGTGAACTCACAAATTACTTACCCAAATTTGCTAATTCAAACTTCTAAATATCTCATTATTTTTAACGTCAAGTGCTGTATCTGAAAAAACAGTTTGTTCAGTACTGGTCGATGTTTAACTATTATTGCGAAACATAGTTCTACCATATGCTTCGCGTTATGACAGTTGAAATTTGCACTAGTAAGTGATAATGTTAGGTTTATTGAAATGTTATTCAGTTTCAATCTTAAACGATATTTCAATTCATTCATTAACTTAAGCCCAACTATTTTAACCAACCAACTAAAAGAGAACATGAAGAATGCTGTGTAAGTCTGAATATGTATGTACCAACATATGAAATTTGTTGATTCGAAAGAACAGCATAAATCTGTTTTGTTAAAAAGTACTCATTTACAATATAATAGATAATACTCAGTAGAATCCACAAGTTTCGAAATTCCTAACTAGAATTATACCGTATTTACATCCTTTATCCAATATCCAGAATGTGAACCTTTAGTTAACATCCACTTAGTGGAGATGTTTATTGAAAAGATATTCAGGCTTCACATGTGCATTGTCAGATTATTAGGAATATAGAAGTACTTGACTAGCGCTATTTTAATGAGTAGTAAGAATTAAACCACAACGCTTGTAATTAATCCACTTCATAACTAATGATTTTCTAACTCTTCAGTAGATCAGATTTGGATTTCAATTTCCTAACGATCGGCAATGGATATAGGATAACTAGTGTTTATGCTTCTCTATTTAATGCCTAGCGAAGTTTTTTCAAAAGACATCTATCAATTAACTTAAGCTGAACAAGAACAGACCTAAGGAAACCGTCGTCATGAGGTAAATCATCTCAGCACATGCTATTTACTCAAATACTTGTGATTGGGGTTCAGTTCAAAAATAACTGAATTAACTACATTCAGTAATTTACTTCAATACTGCCTATCCTAGTCTTATATACCTCTGCAATATGCCTTTAAGACTAACTTTTTTGAATTCAGGACTTGATCTGACTAGAGGAATTCTTACTGACTTGTATTGTACAAACAATATAATTTTGCTGAGTAACTGTTGAAAAATACAGTCTTCCAGACAAACTAAGTAACAGTACTAATTAGTACTCGTTCCTTTAAACCTAAGCGCAAACAGTCGTTTCAGATTTGGCTTGTATTGATGCCTATTGCAACATATAAATGAAATAACTATATAAACTAATTCACCCAAAGAGTCATCGTTTTAGGTTAGGTTGACAGTTAATAGTGTCGGGACGGATACAAAAGCTGAATCGATTTTTACCCACTGACAATACTCACAGTACAGGGGATATACGTATATACCTCTTAGAAAGTGAATTTATTTCAGAGAAGTCTGTTCCGTATTATTTTGTAGCTATGAAAAGTGTACTCTAAAATTGGGAAATATACATAAGTTCCTAGCGTTTAGCCATAGATATTTCCCAAATGTACGCACATTAGTATACGAGAGATGAAAATGTGAAGTAAAGACTGCTGGTTAAAGTAGTGATTTGGTGGACTGGGTCGTGAACTTTTATAGACTCAGTTGGCTAAGGTTTATTACATGTCTACCATTTACTCTGACAAATTAAACTGGGTAACATAAGAATATGTCGGAAAAAAGCTATGTGACCAAATTAAAACTTGGCATCAGTAATTAAAGTTGCTGGTTAGTAATCTAAGGGGGGGGATAGTAGGGGCCGTAGTTTCTTTGTGAGGCTCACGTTGATGATCGTGGTAAAATAGCTTAAGATCATTGGCGTTGCCATACCCTCCATAACTTTCGCAATCCAGTGTCATTCATTTCTCGATTCTACTAATTCTTACTATTGACCACTGGAAATAGCGTTACGGCTACCCTTATTAGTATTTTGTTACTGTCTTCTTCCTCTGTACTTATGTGAAGAGTTTAATAACTTTAGCCAAATTATTATTATTATTGGCTCTACCAGGCACAGCTCTACTTACTTTGTTTCGACTCATAATTTACGTATGAGGCCTAGTAATACTGTGTTTCATCAGACTGAAATATGTGGGGTGGGTCCTAACCTAGGATTTAGTATCTAAAATCCAAACACCTTAGTCCAGTTTGACCGATACATGCATATTGTGCAGCTAAATCTTTAGATTCTGATCTAAATCTAGAAGATGCAACGTTTAACGACCCGAACGCAAATAACTTTGAACCAGATGGTGTAAAATCAAGAGTCACTTATAGAAGTTTATGGGGATATACATGTCAGGCAACCAACGAAACTAGAAAGAAGCGGCAATATGGGCGCAATAACAGATTATTCGAAAGAGACAGGTAAAAGTATACGTATGCAGTCAGTGGAGTATAGGGTGTTTTGAAGCAATCAGCTAAATAGTCGAATGTATGCAACATGAAAGTGACTAGAATACAAAAAGACAAAAATATTTCAGATGATTTACCAACTTTCATGAGTCAGATCAAGTGTTCAATAGTATGCAATATATATATCCTGCGTTGAGTATACCTGTCTATTGGAAAACTCGCAACTCAATGGGTTCTATTTATCAACTAATTGAATTTGTTAAAAAATAAACCTATTAAGTAATTCAACAGACTATAAATAAGTAATATATTTGTAATATCCCAATGAGTAAAAAGATTAAATTAATTTTCATTTGGCTTACGCTGAGTCACGAAACCTCAGAAAACCTAACTTTTCTACTCATTTGAATATTACAAATATATTATTTATTTATAACAATCTACCCAATGCTCAATTAATTAGAAATTATCAGTTCAACAGACTGTTTAAACTTCTGTGCAATTTTTAATCAAGCAAGTTTCAGACAGTTGTGTCAGTCCACTTAAAATATATTTCACATCGGTACGATAAAAGTTTGTAAAGAAACATTAATGACTAATTTTTTTGAAACCAATCGTATTCCCCTCCCAATAAATCCATTAGCTTAACTGATCTCACAAATGCTTACTGTCTAAAATAACAAATGGATAATGACTATTTACGTTGTGAATATGTCAAATGATATAAAAGTCCAAAGGTTATAAATCGATTCCGTTTGATTTTGGTTGGTACTCACCTTATCACTAATACTGTCATTATGTTAATCAATTTTAGTCCATGGTTAATCACAAGGTAAATGAAGATCGTTCTCTGAAAGAATTTGATGACTGGCTAACTAGATCATCCAGCCTGCACACTGCATATCCTGGAAGAAGTTTATTGAAAATTTCAAACAACTTAAAATTTGGCCAACGTGGTCTAATTGCTTGTTGTGAAATAAAAGCAAAACAATGCTGTTATTCTGTACCATTAAATGATTTACGCTTAATTCTTACACCGTTACGATGTGCTTATCTACTTAATCATTGTCCATGTTTTGAACATTCCAAACGTTATCAAGCTAATTTAAACTCTATCGATACTCTTATAGCTTTTATTTACCATTGTAAATACTCAACTTCGACCAAATGCATCCTAAGAAAGATTTGGGCACCTTATCTATCTGTTCTGCCAGAAGTTTATTTGGATCCATTATCTTGTATCTTATTCGATACTGACTGTTTATTTGAGAGAATATTGACAGTTAACCCTTCGCACTATTTTCATTCAAATGATGTAAATATTAAATTACAACGTTTGCTAACACGACTGTTAAGATCGTGGTATTGCATAAAACCAATTTTTACTAATAACAATGATTGTACAAAAGGTTTGGACTATAAAGGTTATAGCATTCCGCCAAAAGAATTTCTATGGGCTTGGTGTACCGTGAATTCACGTTGTGTTTCATGTCCTTTTAAAGAATCTTTATCAGAGGTTCAACATCTTTATAATCTACTAATCAGTTTTGATTTAAAAGATTTGAGCTTTTGTAACGATTTTGAAGTTGTTTCAATGTTTATGAATGCGGAGAATAGCCACACAGTCGCTTTGATACCATTTTTTGATTTTTTAAATCATGGTCAGAATGTACCAACCGCTCTATCATTGTCTAAAACAGAATTATCATTGGAATTATATTTGGAACGTTCAGTTTCTGCAGGTGAACAGGTAGTCTTTTGTGTTTTCTCTTTATAATGCGAAGAATGTTATCATTTACCTTTTAGCTGTAATATTGTATACTACTAAACAATAAATATGATGCGATATAATTTACTGTAATCAGTCAATCACAACTATTGGCAAATTAGACTCTGAATGTGTGTAAGTATACGGTAGGCAACCCTGCATAACCTGGACTTCATGCTAGTTTGCTGCCACTCGTCAGCAAGATGCTTAACTGTACGGTCTTGAGGGAACTGATACTCCACG